CTTTAAGGGATTTATTCATTTCCTCTTTAAGGACATCTTCCATCTCCAAATAATTGGTTTTAAGGTCTGTTTTAAGGTCTTTTTTTTTCTCTTTCAGCTGTGTTGGTATATTCAGAGCCTGCTGTGGCTTTAGTGAAGACGTTGCCCTGGCTGTTACTGATTTTGTTTTTACGTTAGCGTCTGGGTATCTGGGTTTGGCATTATAAATATCTAGGTGCTGATTTCTGGATTTGTCTTTGTTGGTTGGGTGTTTTATTTCTTGATTTCTGTTTTTGTTTTGGAATTTTGGAGAGTGTAATGCCTTTGTGTTGCCTAGTAGAAAATTTTCTTTGGACTTGATGGTTGTGGCCACTGGGGTTCCAGGAAAAATATGTTTCTGGCTGTTGGGATCTGCCATTAGGAATAGAGATAGGCTATTGGTCTGAAAGGGGTTTAGAGGAGGGAGAAGAGGTTCTGTTTGTTTTAAAACCAGGACCTGCTTATTTTGCCTCCATGGATTGGGGGAGAGACAGTGTCTTAGGAAAGGTCATTCCAGATGGTCTGCTAAAGCTCTGGGGATGAGAATTGGGTTTAGTTCTAAAGGTACAGGAAGAGTGGAAAATCTACAGACAACTACCTGCTTTTTTGGCAGGAGTAGTATGTGCTTTAGTGAGGAGTGCCTTGCTGGAGTTGGGGGCTGGGACAGAGCATCAGGCAGGGAAAGGAAGGTTAGAACAGGGAAGTTTTGTTGGATTCACAGGAGATGGGAGCAGGGGGCAGGGAAGGGTGTCATGGGCTTGCTGCTGAGTTGAGGATGAGACTGGGGAATCCGGTCTGGAGAGAGAGAAGGTCTGCCTGCAGCCTACCTGGTTTTCTCGTGGGCGTGGCCTAGGGGTGCCTGCTAGAGTTGAGGGCTGGATACAGCAAAGATGCGGTGGGGTTAGGAGGGTATGGTCTGTGGCATGCACAAGGCTGTAGCATGCACAAGCTGGGTGGCATGGGGGTGGGTGGGAAGCTAGGCCTGGTGTTCTGTGTAGCAACAGGAAAGAGACTGAGAGATTGGGTCTGGAGGAAGAGAGAGAGAAAGACTCATTTAACATTTTAGTCATCTTTCTGTTTCATTGAAAGTTTCATAGATGTAATTTTAAATGGGACTTTATAGTTTAACACACACACAGTATTTATATGGAGGTCGATTCAACAACCCAATTGTAAATTGTGAAGATACAATTCACCAGGGGGAGATTTAAAGCACCGAATGACCGTCCTTTCAAAGCGATCCTAAGTGATTCCAGATGAACAGATGTAGACCTGTTTAGTAGACGAAGCATGGACGTGACCTTTCTCTCTCAGCGCTTTCAGCTTGCTTACCACTGTTCTGTGCCAGGCACGCGTGTCAGTTTGACCATGTTTTGAGGAAACTACTGGTGAGTGTCCATCTGTCAGCTCTCAAAAGAACAGAAGCCATTGGAGCAGGAGTCTGGAGGGGTTCTGACAGTAGATGAGGAGCATGCGCGGCAAGGTAGGCGGGGAGCCCTTACCTTGCTACCAGCCGGCTAAGCCAATGCTGGCAGTGTGTCACACAGAATCGCTGCAGGTTGGGAGTCTGCCCGTTTAAATTGCTCATCAAGTTCAACAAGACTGAGAAGGCCTCTGCAGTGAGGGTGGTTTTCAGAAAGGTCAAAAATCCACACAAGGGAAAAGCCTTTGCAGGAGGGTGTGAAGAGCCGGCGTAGATCCCAAATAGTATTCAGATCAGCAGTAATATTACCCAGTTACTGAACTCCCGGCTAGACAGCACGGCAAATGTCTACAATTTCGGCTCAGCTCTGCTTCATAAAGATTTATTGAATGCTGTGCAGGGCACTCTGGGAAATAAACAAGATGGGACTTTGCAATAATGTGATGGATTTTTAAGAACATGAATTCCTAAACTCATGTATTCAAGTATGTGATTTTTAAGAGTTGAAATATTTTTTTCTAGGCATATTTTCATTACTAAAAACTTTTCTCTTACAGCATATTTAAAAACATATGTCTGTGTCTATACACATGCATTTATTATTTATAGATTTAATTTTGGAAATAGCCAGGCCATGTGGAAGTAAGTCCTATAAACGAGGTGTAGGTGATCAAATTGGAGAAAATTCTGTTTATCTAACATAAAGTGTGACTGTATCTCATGGAGTATGACTTTTTGCCGGGGGTAGTGGTGGTAGAGGCCATACACCAGTTCATAAAAGTTCCTCTTGGTTTGGGTGGCATTCTTTCATTAAGGTTATCGCTTAGAGTGACCGTGAAATAAGATACTCATTTACATGTCGTTTACATGTTCTGATAGGCTTATTGAAACTCTAACTTCTTTTTTTAGATTTTATTTTTATTATTATCATTTATTACAATTTATTCAATTTGTATCCCGGCTGTGTCCTCCTCCCTCGTCTCCTCCCAATCCCACCCTCCCCTAAGTCCACTGATGAGGAAGTCCTCATCCCCTTCTCTTTGACCCTAGCCTGACATGCTTTTTATACACGGAGGCCGAAAAGGCTTTGAACCTTTAGGAACTACCAGGAAAGTAATGTTGATCTAAACGTGGGAGCCAGGGAACAAAACCTAGCACCTGTCACTGGGTTGTCTCAGGATTGAGGTGAGTGTATGATATGTTCAAGAAATTAGACACTGGGGCTCCCCTCTTCGGCTTTCATATATGCTGGAAGAGTAGAAGTTGTCTTTCTGTCAGATCGTCCCACTTGCTTTTTCTTTTCATATTTCTGTTTTCTATTTGTTTTACCTGGATTAATTTATGATTAGATATCTACATGTCTGAAGAACCTTAGTTATTTCTGTGTGGACTCAGGTTCTTTTGGTGCTGGGTTACTGCAGAAGAATTTGGAAAAAGGAAGCAGAGAAGGAAAGCAGTTGGCGAGAGTAATTCTGAGCAGCTTCTTGAACTGCGTGAACAGGATTGATTAGAGCTTTCCAGTGTTGATGTGTTTCCTTTCAAATGCACAGGAGCGCCATCATCTATATTAGTGCTCAAAAGGCTTTGGACAAGGGCTGGGTGTGCTCAGCTTTATTCTACACAGCCTGTAGTGGAGCACAGGAGGGGCCCGGCAAGGACCATATCTTCTCAGAAGCTATCTATGATGCTCTGCAGATGAAATTTTTGCTCCCTGATTTCCATCTCATGCTTCTTTAAGGAAACCCTGCATCTGTAGTAAGCTGGAGCTGTGTAAGAAAATGTCATCACGTGCATAACTTAAAAACACATTCATTATCCAATGTTCTCAGTGCTGGAAAATTTAAGGTCAAGATGTCTGCTGATCTGTCTTGGCAGGGGCCATCTTTCTGCCTGGAAGATGGCTGCCTTCTTGCTGTGTCTTTATATGGCAGATGGGGCTGGGTCTTTGATGTTTTTTATTACAGAAACACTATTTCTTTCAAACCTGAGTTTCACCATTATGGCTTCATTTAACCTCAATCATTTCTTTATATTCAAATACATCCACGTTGGAAGGCTACCGTGGTTACTATTGACTGTCAGCTTGGCAAGATTATGAATCACCATGGAAACAAACCTTTGGGTGTGTCTTTAAAAAATTATTTAGATTAGGTTAATTAAGGTGGGGCCATTCCACTTGTAGGGCACTCTGAGATTTCTGGCTCCACAGAAAGGAAAAGGCTAGCTGATCAGCATTTGCTCCTCTGTGCTTTCTGACTGTGGATGCAATGTGATCAGCCTCCTCCCACTTCTGCCAGAGATTTTCCTGCCACCAGCTCCTGGAGAGCAGTTGCCTAGAGTAATGTTTCTTTGGGATCAGCTCACAGAGGTTGCTGCAACAATGGTCCAAAGGAGCCAGGCTCCATGCCAAGCTGGCAGCAAAACTATGGGGTACCATAGTCCATGTGGTAGTGGTTTGGCAGGCATGAAATCTTATGCCATACTTCCAGAGAGCCACCGAGGCTAGGTAATGCTAGGCAGGGTCAGACTCCTTTCGCTGCTCTTCTAGAGGGGCAGTGATGCAAAGGTGATGCCCAAGTTACAGTGAAGAAGCCAGGATGCTGGGGCTGCAACACAGATGCCTCTGTCATTCCTCTAGCCTTTATGTCGCTTAAAGCCTTTGGACAATCCCCAGATGGAGCATGTGCAAGCTAAGTCAACACAGTGCATGAAACCAACCCTGAGAGGTGTCAGTATTCCAGATGCCCAGACAAGAGGAGCACGGTAAGGAGGTGAAGGCGCATGGCCATTTTTCTTTATGTCTCCATCACTGGGCCCAGAATCTTCTCAGCGTGCTAAATTTAACAGATCAAGTGCAAACTGCATGGTCATTGATGGACTCCACAGTTAATCTCTTTGTCCTGTCCAGGAGCTAAAAGGACAGCTAACTAAGGCAAGGGGTCCCAAAAGCCAGAAAGTGTGTGGTAGATTAAAGGGATAGGGAACAGGAAAGTTCAAGGAACTACACATTAGCTTATAGGAGGCTGAGGAGGACTGGCAGTAAAGGTGAGTTGTCCAATAAGGCCAGATTACTCAGTTCTCCAATGGAGGAAGACTTGGCTCCAAAAGGCCAGCTTATCTCTGCCTCCCGCAGCAAACTGGGGTTCTGGAGTAGGGTGTGAAACATGAGATTTCCTTCTGGGAAATGCACTCTGGTGCAGTGCAATGGTGGTGACCGTGCATGCTGAAGCTGCTGGGAATGTGCGGTTGTTAGTCGCTGGCAGCGCTTTCTGCTGGGCTTTGTCAGGGTAGCTCCTTGAAAACGAACAGCAACGCCATTTGGGAGTGATGTTAGGCCGTTCCTTGACCAAGCGCAGTAACTGCCCTTTAGCCTGGGCGGTGGCATCTGGCCGCAGCTGGGAGGCAGTGCAAGCGCGTCTGGCCGGGGCAGTAGGGTTGGAAACTCTAGGGAGGAGCAGGCCAGGGGCGTGGTGTGGGCGTGACCGTCTCCGAGCCAGGCCACGCCTCCCTCGCCTTTCTCGCCTGCGCAAGCGCGTAGTGGGCCGTTAGCTGTCAGGAGCCTAGCAGCGGGTGGCAGGGATCCGACGCCTGTGCGGGGACTCGGCTGTCTGAGCCCCTCGCAGCGGCGACAACCCGGACAAGCCCCGCGAGGCCAGGGCTGCCCGCCAGATCACAGAGTCCAGCGGGGACCTGTGTGGTCGCTGAGGCAAGATGGGGAACCGGGAGATGGAGGAGCTGATCCCCCTGGTTAACCGTCTGCAGGACGCCTTCTCGGCGCTGGGACAGAGCTGTCTGCTGGAGCTGCCGCAGATCGCGGTGGTGGGCGGTCAGAGCGCCGGCAAGAGCTCGGTGCTCGAGAACTTCGTGGGCAGGTGAGCGCACCGGGAGCGCGGTGGGCGCGCGTCGGGGGTGGGGACACCCCTGATTCAGGCCGTTGGAACGTGGAACGGCTGGGGGAGCCCGAGGGTGTACTAGACTAGGCTGCGGCGGATGGGATGGGGGCAGAGCAGGGGTGTCCTGGAGCGGGCGGGGTCCTCCCTGCCTCTAAGCATCCCTAGTCCCCGGTGGTGACCCCCTGTCTGCCTTTCATCCTGCCATACAAAGCCATTTCCTCCCCACCCTCGGTGGGGGAGTCAGGGTCCGCCCCGGGATCTACTTCCCTCGCTGGCTCGGTGCGCGCCAGCGCCTGGCAGCCTGGATGTGCAGCTCGGTGCTTTCCAGTCCCCAGATCTCTTTCTTGGTCTCCACATCCCCCCCACCCCCCGCCCTTTCCTGTCACCCTCCCGGAGGCTCTCAGTTTGGTTGTGGGGATGTACCCCCTCCTCCTCCGTTTTCCCCCCTCGCCCTGGCTCTCAGATCTTCTCAGATGCCTACAATTTGAGACAGTCATCTCCTGCCCTGAGCTGGGGAGGCGGGGTGTGTGAACCCAGAAATCCTGTGCTGAAGGCTTATCCGGGAGATACTTGCCTATCATTCTCCCCGGGAGCCGAAGGATAAACAGCGGTGTGTCTGAGTGTGCTCACGCACGGCTGAAAACCCGAGACCTCCAGCGGTGACCGTGGACTTGGGATGTTCAGGTGCCCCGTCATTTCTGCATCATCTCAGAACTGACCAGAATCTTTCTCGCACTCTCTCTCTCTGGCCCCTCCCCCCTGCATCCTCTTGCGTTCTGTCCCTTAAGCTCTTATTTATCCAGCCGGTCTTCAGGCCAGCACACAGAATCCAAATTGTAGTTGTGGCTTCATGTCTCTCAATTAAAAACAAACAAACAAACAAACAAACAAACAAACAATTATTGTCGTTTTAAGTCAGGAATCAGCGTTTCTTCCGGTGAGCAATTCAGGAAGGATTAAGTTACCTTAACGGCCTTACAGTGAGGAGTGCATTATGAAGGCTGAGATCTGTTTCCCAGTAGTGAACTAGGTAGAAGGCGCAGCAGTAGAGACTGCTGGTGGGCTGGAGGGGGCAATCCAAGATTGCGCTTGATTCTTTTATTTGGCTGGTGAGCGACTTGGGATGCGGAGGGAGGGTTCCTGCCGCGGCTCTGCAACCCCCTTTTCTTTCTGTTATTGCTTGGCAATGTGTAAGCTGTACCGCTGACTATTCCCACGTTTTCTGGGCGTGAGCACCATAAAGCGCGTTTTCTTTTTTTCTGGGATGATTCTCGATCCCTCCAGAGATACTCCTCATTCTTCTTGTTTCGATATGAGCTAGCAAGATAAAAACATGGAATTGCTGGCCATTGGCAGCTATCCTTGGGTAGTTGGTCCCCTTAATCATTTCCCCCCCTGATTTTATAATTCATTTTGCTCCATAAAAAAAAAAAAAAAAGCAATAGCAAAATATTTTGCCTACGTCATCTCGGACGTATTTAATAATATTCTATAAAAAAATCCTTAAAGATTAAAATTATATTCCAGAAGCAACAGCCATGTTTTTTTGCATCTTCCTTATAATTTATTTAGATGAGCATATATTACAAGTATTTTAGTAAATGCTTTTGAACTCAAGTAAATTCTATCCATATGTGTCAGTTCTGCCCTCCAGGTTTGCAAAGCCAAACAGTCTTTTTAATGCTATAACGAAAGCGTGTACATTTCCTCTCACTAGCTGTATTTTTTTTTTGTAATGAGAATAAAAACAGGGACACAGTAGAGTAGTATATATATATAATTCAGAACCCTTTTCCATAATGAAATGAAAAATATTGTAAAAATGAGAGCACTTATCAGAATGCATTAGTAATTTGTTGTACTTCATGACATTTTACCAGTAGTTACTGTATGGATGATAGAGAAAATAATGAACATAGAAGAATATGCTCATTTACTAAGTACATAAAGCCTTTATTAGCTGCAGGGTAGACCTTCCTGGCACAACTTATATATTAAGGAGAAAACTTAATTAGAAGGTCATTTGACTTTAATAAAGATTTCGGTCATTGAATTATTGAGAAATCTAATATCTAATTATAACTCAACCATTTTCAGAAGTGAATCAGCCCAGGTTGGGGAGGAAAAAGGTTTCCATGTTTCACTGTAACCTTTTAACTTCGATTGACCAGGAATTTCACAACCAATATAAAATTGTTTAAAACGCGGTATTTCTCTTCTGCTTGTAGCTGTTTTCAGTTTAATGTTGACCAATTGTGCAGTGACTGAGTACAGGCAGGCACCAGGGTCTTCACTTGGGTGGATTGTTTGCTCCTGAATTAAGCTTGTTCTCTTCTAGATACTGTTGCATTTATTTATTGATTTATTTACCACTTAACAATCCACCTTTGTAGCTAACCCTATCTTTCCCTCAAAAATAGTTTGCTTATACTGAGTTTTTTTTTATACTATTGAATGTACTTGGATGCGAATGAGTTTATTTAACTATCTGTAAAACCAATTTTGGGGTGACAAGTTTGAGTTTGTTATGAATAAAATGTGTCATGAATGAACTCCTTGTTTGTGATTTTCTTGCTGAAGCGACAAATTTGCATATTAATGTGCTATAGTGTGAGTAGCTAGATTGTTTTGATTGTTCTGGGTGAGCCTATAGGCTGGCAGTGAGAAGCTGCCTGTGGTCATACACAGAAGTGAAACCCACAGACTGAAGGAAGACAGGTTCATTACCAGGCTCGAATCTGCCCATTAGTCCGGTTTGTAAATGGAAGAATTGAATTTTTTCAACTCTTTCTTATTTATGTATTTGTATGAACTTCCTCGCTCTCTCTTCCAGTTGAACTTAGGGCCTTGTTCATGCCAGGCAAGTGCTCCAGCACTCAGGTGTATTCCCAACTCATTTCCCCCCCCCCCCCCCTTCTTTTTTTTTTTTTTTTTTTTTTACTTTTTCAAAGACTTGAATCACCCTGTATCTTAGGGTTAGGTAGGCATCGAACTTTTGATTGTCCTCTTTTCAGTCGCGGTTATAGCTGGGGTTACAAGCCTGAGTCACTTGCACAAACAGAAAAGATAGTGAGGCTTGGCTCTAAATATGTATGTTTAGAGAGCAGTAATGATAAAAGGAACAGCTAGTGTTTACTAGTGAATGCTACATGTTGGATGCTATCTTGGTTCCTTTTATATAGATAACCCAATTTAACCCTCATAAAACTGCGAAGAGGTAGGTATGCTCATTGATTTTATTTTACCTGATAGCAAATTCAAATGTAATGAGCCTGAGCAAGTCACTTGTGGCTAATTTGAGCTAATGTGAAAACCTGAGCTCCTTAATGCAGTCTCTAAAGCCTATCTACCATACTGCCCTACCACATGGAACTTTGTCAATGCTTCTGGTTAAAACCTGCAGCATCTTTCTTATTGGTCTTGTAATTCTGAGCCCATGAACAAGAAACTGCTATATTGTTATTCTATTTATATGGCGTTGTGCACATCTACCCCCTTAAAATCATTAATTAAAAGAAACATTTTTAAAAAATTTACAATATTAGATGTTCCTGAAGATAGCTGTGAAAGGTAACTTGGTTGTTTCCTTAAAATATGTGTTTACACTGTGTATAACTTATTTATTGAGGTGCTAAGTGAAAACTGTACTAGCTGCTAATGTACAAATGTTTTTTAACTAATTAATTATTTTTTATTATTAATTACACTTTATTCACTTTGTATCCCCCCATAAGCCCCTCCCTCCTCTCCTCTCAATCCCACCCTCCCTCCTCCTTCTTCAGGCATGCCCCTTCCCAAGTACACTGATAGGGGAGGTCCTCCTCTCCTTCCTTCTGATCTTAGTCTATCAGATCACATCAGGAGTGGCTGCATTGTCATCTTCTGTGGCTTGGTAAGGCTGCTTCCCCCTCAGGGGGACGTGATCAAAGAGCAGGCCAATCAGATTATGTCAGAGGCAGTCCCTCTTCCCATTACTATGTGACCCACTTGGACACTAAACTGCCATGGGCTACATCTGTGCAGGGGTTCTAGGTTATCTCCATGCCTGGTACTTGGTTGGAGTATGAGTCTCTGGGGAGTTTCCTGTGTTCAAATTTTCTGGTTCTGTTGCTCTCCTTGTGTGGTTCCCGTCCTCTCCAGCTTTTACTATTTCCCACTTCTTACATAAGATTCCATGCAGTCTGCCCAACAGTTGGCCATAACTCTCAGCGTCTGCTTTTATAGTCGTGCAAATATTTTTTAATTATACACTTGTTAGTGACATTACTTGGTCAATGTAGACAGAAGATTTCATGTTATTTTATCCTAATCTGAATGGTAAACAGACCTCCAGTTCTGAAGAAGTAGAAAAGAGTTTGTGGTTAATAGAAACCAGATAAAAGATTTTTAAACACTGACTGTACTGATGGGAGTTTATTTAAATGTGGAAATATCTCAATAATATTTATTTATTTATGAGGTTTACAGTGATTTGGCTCTCTAGTTTGATGGACACTATGAGCCATTTGGTGATGTTGTTGGATATGACCAGATCATTAAATCTGAACTTGATATAGCTCAAATTCTAACTTCCTTTGAGAGATTTCATGAACATGTTTAAAAAAGAATAAGAGTCCCATAACTCTTAAGATTGAATAAGATTGAAACTTATTAAGCTAGGGTAGGTTTGTATTGAGGGGAAGGATTTTGTTAAAATATCAAAGCATGGAAGTTATTGGATTTTAAAAAAGAAATGGCTTCTAAGATTATAGTTCTTAGGTTAATGGGTGCTGACAATTAAAATGTGATAACTACTGAAAATTATGCTTAGAAATCTCCAAGGAACTATTCAATAAAATATGAAAAATGTGAACTGTTCTTTGTCTGACGAGTTGGTGGAACCCAAAATTATGAAGACCTTTGTGCTGAATCAGCATTATGTAATGCCTTTTAAGGTTATCACAGGTTCACAGATAGTAGGACATATTCACCACAAACAA